GGGGCCCCCCCCCCTATAACGGGGGCCCCCCTGGGGCCCCCCCCCCCCCTAGGGGGGCCCCCTGAAGGGGGCCCCCTACATGCAGCAGGGGGGCCCCCCAGGGGAGGCAGCAGGGGGGCCTGCCTTTGGTTTTTCTGCTGCTGTGCTGCAGCAGGTGGGGGGCCCCCTGGGGGCCCCTCAGCAGAGTTCATACAGGTGGAATGCTGCTGCTGCTGCTGCTGCTGCTGTTGCTGCTGTTGCTGCTGCAGTGCAGCACCGTTTGCTGCAGCAGCAGTATCCTGCAGCATGTGTTCCCCCTGCTGCTGCGGCTGTTGGTGTGGCTGTTGCTGCAGCAGCAGCAACAACTGCTGCTGCTGCTGCTGCTGCTGCTGCTGCTGCTGCTGCGGGCGGAATAGACGCAACCCTAAACCTCGCAGCTGCTGCAGGGGCCCCCAGCCAGAGGGGGGGGCCCCCCCCCCTCTGCGCCAGTGGTTAGGGGGGGGCCCCCCAACAGCAGCTAAGTCAAACACAGGCATGGGGGCCCCCCTATCTGTTGATGATCGACTTGCTGCTGCTGTTGCTGCTGCTGCTGCTGCTCTCGCTGCTGCTGCTGCTTCTGCTGCTGCTGCTGCTGCAGTGGAGGGGTGGGGAGAAGTTCGGGGGCGCCACAGCGCAGCACCAAATCTCCACTGTCTCCTGCTGCTGCTGCTGCTGCTGTTGCTGCTGCTGCTGCTGCTGCTGCTGCTCGTCGCAGCAGCAGCAACAGCAGCAGCAGCAGTGGTGGCTGCAACTGCTGCTGGCGGTGTGCGGCGGAACCCCTCAGCTAGCAGCAGCAAACCGAACGCCTCTAGCTCCCCCCAGAGTGTTGCTGCTGCTACTTGCTGCTGCTGCTGCTGCTGCTGTTGCTGCTGCTCTTGCTGTTGCTGCTGCTGATGCTGCTTCGCTGCTGCAGCAACAGCAGCAGCAGAAACAGCGCGTCGCCTCTCTTCCGGTGTCAGCAGCAGCCTATTGGACCTACTGCTGCTGCTGCTGCTGCTGCTGCTGCTTCTGCTGCTGCTGCTGTTGTTGTTGTTGTCATCTTTGGTTTTGCTGCTGTCCGTGCTGCTGCTGCTGCTGCTGCTGTCGTGTTTGCTGCTGCTGATCGCCGTAGCTGGTAGAAGGCCCCGAGGCACTGCAGCAGCAACAGTAGCAGCAGCAGCAGCAG